AGAAGGCCCTATCCATGAATCTAATATGACTATCCCCAAAAAGAACTATATTCTTACCTTCCTTAGTGTTGTTCATTGTGACGTTCCCAGTCTCGACTCACATTTGTTGGGTAACACGGAGAATGGGTCCGAAGTTTCCACAGTTGTCTCCTGGATCTTCTTTGTTTCAACCTCTCCATCAGTCCTCTTGATAGCTTCGTTCCATGGTTTCCGGCCACTGTCCAGGTTCCTTTCTTGACCTGAGGATTCATAACATGAGGATTGCTACGAATCCTCTTGTTTTCCATAGTCAGTTGGTTTATATTAAGCTTAGCCACCCTCAGCTCCTCCTTAATTAAGGTGAATTTGCTCAATAGAGGACACTAGACAAGTCTTCACAGAGCTAAGTACAGGTCACCACTGTTACTTATTACATAGACAGAATTTGACAACCTGGAAACAGAATATTTATAATTAACACTTCATTAAATTCATGGGTTGGTAAACTCTTGAAAAAATCAAAGATTATGTCTGAAATGTTAGAGTCATGAAACAACGAAGTGCAGAGCCACTTGACTTCGGTTTTAGAGCTTAACATGGTTATATTACACAATGAGTTATATTCAGATTTACGAAGAGGTTCAAGGATAACGGCTCAGTGACAGTCATTATCTTAGCAATACAATAATAAGAGTAGTATAAATTACTAGTATAAAATGAACTCATCTGCAAAGTATTGAAAAATGACACACTGGTTGTCATGGTTGAGCTATAGCTTTTGAGTCTGTTGAGAGTTTTGATGTACAATTATTATGCGTCGTGGGTGAATTAAGGGAAGGTACACTTTTTTTCAGATCCAGCAGCGGCCAAAGCACTTCTAGTTATTTATGAGCAACGCTTAAACTGTTTATAATATTCCTTATTCTGAGTCCTGGATCCTAGGATCCAGGATGGATCCGCTAAGTGCAGATCAATGTTATTGTTCTCCTTCAGCGTAACTGCCTCATTTTCGTCTTTATAACACTAGTACAGATAATTAGTTTTATGTATAGCAATGTAACTTTCGTGAGCAGGCAGTGTATATCTACCAAGTTGAGTATATATCAGTGTAGTCAGTGTATATGCACCAAAGTATACATATCAGTTTTTTGGAAATCATTTAGGTACTTCTTTACACATAAGAATCTTTCCTCCGTAAGCCATGCGTGTTGTAAAAGTCAACTAAAATGCTGGGAACAATGGGCTAGTAACCCCTTTTCCTGTAAAGATAACTAAAAAGAATAAGAAGAAGAAAATTGTCAAAGTGGGAAGTCTGAATGTGCGTGGATGTTGTGCAAATGATAAGAAAGAGATGATTGTGGATGTTATGAATGAGAAGAAGCTGGATGTCCTGGCTTTAAGTGAAACAAAGCTGAAGGGGGTGGGAGAGTTTCAATGGAGAGGAATAAATGGGATTAGGTCAGGGGTTTCAAATAGAGTTAGAGCTAAAGAAGGAGTAGCAATAATGTTGAAGGATAAGCTATGGCAGGAAAAGAGGGACTACAAATGCATAAATTCAAGGATTATGTGGAGTAAAATAAAGACTGGATGTGAAAAGTGGGTTATAGTAAGCGTGTATGCACCTGGAGAAGAAAGAAGTGTAGAGGAGAGAGAGAGATTCTGGGAAATGTTGAGTGAATGCGTGGGGAGTTTTGAATCAAGTGTGAGAGTAATGGTGGTTGGGGATTTCAATGCTAAAGTGGGTAAAAATGTTATGGAGGGAGTAGTAGGTAAATTTGGGGTGCCAGGGTAAATGTAAATGGGGAGCCTTTAATTGAGCTATGTGTAGAAAGAAATTTGGTAATAAGTAATACATATTTTATGAAAAAGAGGATAAATAAATATACAAGGTATGATGTAGCACGTAATGAAAGTAGTTTGTTAGATTATGTATTGGTGGATAAAAGGTTGATGGGTAGGCTCCAGGATGTACATGTTTATAGAGGGGCAACTGATATGTCAGATCATTATTTAGTTGTAACTACAGTTAGAGTAAGAGGTATGATGGGAAAAGAGGAAGGTGGCAACAACAAGCAAGAGGGAGGTGAAAGTGTATAAACTAAGGGAGGAGGAAGTTCAGGTGAGATATAAGCGACTATTGGCAGAAAGGTGGGCTAGTCCAAAGATGAGTAGTGGGGGGTTGAAGAGGGTTGGAATAGTATTAAAAATGCAGTATTAGAATGTGGGGCAGAAGTTTGTGGTTATAGGAGGGTGAGGGTGGGGGCAGGAGGAAAGAGGAGTGATTGGTGGAATGATGAAGTAAAGGGTGTGATAAAAGAGAAAAAGGTTGCTTACGAGAGGTTTTTACAAAGCAGAAGTGTTATAAGAAGAGCAGAGTATATGGAGAGTAAAAGAAAGGTGAAGAGAGTGGTGAGAGAGTGCAAAAGGAGAGCAGATGAAAGAGTGGGAGAGGCACTGTCAAGAAATTTTAATGAAAATAAGAAAAAATTTTGGAGTGAGTTAAACAAGTTAAGAAAGCCTAGGGAAAGTATGGATTTGTCCATTAAAAACAGAGTAGGGGAGTTAGTAGATGGGGAGAGGGAGGTATTAGGTAGATGGCGAGAATATTTTGAGGAACTTTTAAATGTTGAGGAAGAAAGGGAGGCGGTAATTTCATGCACTGGCCAGGGAGGTATACCATCTTTTAGGAGTGAAGAAGAGCGAAATGTTAGTTTGGTGGAGGTACGTGAGGCATTACGTAGAATGAAAGGGGGTAAAGCAGCTGGAACTGATGGGATCATGACAGAAATGTTAAAAGCAGGGGGGATAAAGTGTTGGAGTGGTTGGTATTTTTGTTTAATAAATGTATGAAAGAGGGGAAGGTACCTAGGGATTGGCGGAGAGCATGTATAGTCCCTTTATATAAAGGGAAAGGGGACAAAAGAGATTGTAAAAATTATAGAGGAATAAGTTTACTGAGTATACCAGGAAAAGTATACGGTAGAGTTATAATTGAAAGAATTAGAGGTAAGACAGAATGTAGAATTGCGGATGAGCAAGGAGGCTTCAGAGTGGGTAGGGGATGTGTAGATCAAGTGTTTACATTGAAGCATATATGTGAACAGTATTTAGATAAAGGTAGGGAAGTTTTTATTGCATTTATGGATTTAGAAAAGGCATATGATAGAGTGGATAGAGGAGCAATGTGGCAGATGTTGCAAGTTTATGGAATAGGTGGTAAGTTACTAAATGCTGTAAAGAGCTTTTATGAGGATAGTGAGGCTCAGGTTAGGGTGTGTAGAAGAGAGGGAGAATACTTCCCGGTAAAAGTAGGTCTTAGACAGGGATGTGTAATGTCACCATGGTTGTTTAATATATTTATAGATGGGGTTGTAAAAGAAGTAAATGCTAGGGTGTTCGGGAGAGGGGTGGGATTAAATTATGGGAATCAAATTCAAAATGGGAATTGACACAGTTACTTTTTGCAGATGATACTGTGCTTATGGGAGATTCTAAAGAAAAATTGCAAAGGTTAGTGGATGAGTTTGAGAATGTGTGTAAAGGTAGAAAGTTGAAAGTGAACATAGAAAAGAGTAAGGTGATGAGGGTATCAAATGAATTTAGATAAAGAAAAATTGGATATCAAATTGGGGAGGAGGAGTATGCAAGAAGTGAATGTTTTCAGATACTTGGGAGTTGACGTGTCGGCGGATGGATTTATGAAGGATGAGGTTAATCATAGAATTGATGAGGGAAAAAAGGTGAGTGGTGCGTTGAGGTATATGTGGAGTCAAAAAACGTTATCTATGGAGGCAAAGAAGGGAATGTATGAAAGTATAGTAGTACCAACACTCTTATATGGATGTGAAGCTTGGGTGGTAAATGCAGCAGCGAGGAGACGGTTGGAGGCAGTGGAGATGTCCTTTCTAAGGGCAATGTGTGGTGTAATATTATGCAGAAAATTCGGAGTGTGGAAATTAGGAAAAGGTGTGGAGTTAATAAAAGCATTAGTCAGAGGGCAGAAGATGGGTTGTTGAGATGGTTTGGTCATTTAGAGAGAATGGATCAAAGTAGAATGACATGGAAAGCATATAAATCTATAGGGGAAGGAAAGAGGGGTAGGGGTCGTCCTCGAAAGGGTTGGAAAGAGGGGGTAAAGGAGGTTTTGTGGGCGAGGGGCTTGGACTTCCAGCAAGCGTGCATGAGCGTGTTAGATAGGAGTGAATGGAGACGAATGATACTTGGGACCTGACGATCTGTTGGAGTGTGAGCAGGGTAATATTTAGTGAAGGGATTCGGGGAAACCGGTTATTTTTCATATAGTCGGACTTGAGTCCTGGAAATGGGAAGTACAATGTCTGCACTTTAAAGGAGGGGTTTGGGATATTGGCAGTTTGGAGGGATATGTTGTGTATCTTTATACGTATATGCTTCTAAACTGGTTGTATTCTGAGCACCTCTGCAAAAGCAGTGATAATGTGTGAGTGTGGTGAAAGTGTTGAATGATGATGAAAGTATTTTCTTTTTGGGGATTTTCTTTCTTTTTTGGGTCACCCTGCCTCGGTGGGAGACGACCGACTTGTTAAAAAAAAAAAAAAAAAAAAAAAAAAAAAAAAAAAAAAAAAAAAAAAAAAAAATTACATATATATATATATATATTTATTTTTTTGTAATTGCAGAATTTAGTAGGTGTATTACATAAGTGGGTTTAGCGGTTCTTGGAATACAATAGCAATAACATTATTTCTTGTTTTCAAATGTAGGTTATTTCTCTTCTCTGTCTCTGTCTCCTGGTATAAACCTTGGTAATAGTTACCAATAAATTGGCTTAGAAAGACACACGAGCCAACTCTAAGACCTTATACAGACTCTTTAACCTTTGTGTGTCAGAAGTGATCAATGTCCCAGGACCTAAACGTTTACTAATAAATATGTCCTATTTTTTTACTCACGTGTCTTTCTAAACCTTTCTGTCTCTTGTACCCTGATAAAAAATCCGGTTAGAAAGTGGACAGCTAAGGCATATACTTTTCTAGTGTTCGCAGGCTTGAGCCGCTCTAGGATATTGAGGTCTAGGCGGCTTTGGGAAGAATCTACTTCTTCGGAGACAGTAGGGATACACAAGTAAGAAATGGGAACATTTAGTATGAATTAGCTGATAAAATTATTGGAGTAATTTTCTGATATAATAGAAAAATATTGATATTTTTTTTCCTGCAGGTGCTGATGGCTTCGTGTTCCAGAAAGCTGAGGTCTTGTGCCTTGTGGCTTGTATTCTTTTTATTCTGGCAACTCCAGCTGGCAAGCAAGGAAGACGGCTTGACGGCTGACACAACACAGGTTCTGAATGAAGGCACCCATGAAGATGCCAGCTTAATGGACACTAGCAATAGCGATTCTACCATTACTGACAATGATGGTGAATTAAGCCTGTCAGGTACCAGCAACAGTGACCACCTTACTGCGGACACCAACCATGTTGGAACACTGAAAGCAATCAGCAACAGTGGCCATGCTTCTGCTAGCACAGAACACGTTACTAAGGAAAAAGCGATCAGCAACAGCGGTCAAACTGCTGCTAACAGTGACAATACTATCAAGCTAGAAGTTATCAACAATAGAGGCATTATTACAACTTATACTTTCAACCAACCAACGCCAGGAATATATGGCCAAAACCCGAGCATCGAGAACCAGTTGAGATCTCTTGGCATAATTAAGTTTCTGGAACTTATATATAATCCGCATAACTTTATGTTCTTGTGCGACCATCCTCCAGTCAAGTTCTCATCGTCGTTCTTAGGGAAATATGATGATAAATGTTTTGGGAACCACCACAGAGTCCAGTTTAATTCAGTTCTATCTCTGTGTCTTTATACATACAACGTGATATACGGGAGTAACTCCTTAAACTATGCTGAAATTAAAATTACTTCAAGTAATCAAATATTTGTTGTATTCTATGGCGATGATTTTGTTAACATTTGTTTGCCAATGTTCATGAGATATAATTACTGTAAAGACGAGGATTTGTTTACTCTGTGTCAAGAGAATAATCAAAGTTTTGCATTTTTTCATTCCAAACGTTGTCCACGTTCACCACACCTACACGCTGACTACTTTTCATTAATTATGCTCAATTATGTTAATGGAAATAGAGAGTGTATAAGAACCATTTGTCAGGGAAGTCATATGTTCATCGACGGCGAGGTAGCTGGACTTCGTTTTCGGGTAACCAATTTTAATGTACTAATAAATAACACTTCCTGCTTTCATAAAGTTAATCCCATTCGTTTATTTGCTGCAGATGAGATATACTATATTACAACTAACATTCACTGGCCTTGCTGCTACCCTAATTATTTTGTGGCATGGAAAGGTTGCCCAGAAGAACGTGGATTGATCGGTGCATGGAATTACCTGCCGCTATCGTGTCGGATAAGTGAGCTGGTACTTATCGTGATTGTGGCAGTGATAATGGTTAGTGGAGTGGTGGGCAACTTGATGGTGGTAGTTGTGATGCTGATGGTGATGGTAATGGAGAACGGGCCACAAGAAGGACACGAGTCCATTATGCTTCGCACCTCCCTCGCTTTCTCTGACTTATTAGTGTCTCTTTTTGTTGTTGTTCCTTCATTTTATTACCACCTGGAACCATTTTTTACTCTGTTTTATCGCCTTTTGATAGACAGCCCATACCTAATCAGGGAGGACGATTTTATTTTGTTTTCTTACATTAAACCGTTTGATGAGGGATTTCCTCTCTTTCAGGCTTTCTTGTTCTGCCTATACTCCATTGTATCATTATTAACACTCTTTCTGTTGAGCGTGGAGAGGTTGGTGTTCTTCAGTAGACCCTCAAAGTACTGCGAATACTTTACAGTGAGGCGGGTGTGGGCAGCAATAACATTCACTTGGGTTCTTGGCTTCCTTGACACACTCCTCTTCATGTATCACAGGGATGGCTACTTTGTAACTCACTGGTCAACTTTCAACAAACTTCCCATATTCTTCTCAGTATTTCATCCAGATAGCGTGTTCTATAAGACACTGCATAATAGTCAGCTGGTACTATTAGAAACGATCAGCTATTGTACTATTGTTGTCTCTGTGCTAGCAATCTGGACCTTCCAGAAACAACAGGCAAGAGAGTCTCGGGAATGGAACAAAGATAATATGGGATATTCAGGGCCAAGAGATAAGGAAAATAGACACATTTTGGTGACTCAAATTGTAATGACTGTGTGCCTCTTTGTCTCTAACGTCCCCTTACACATTAACATATTTTTCATCTTCTTGACAGAAGGTCTATCTAGCATCTACAAATATGAACTGATTTCTTATATTTGCTGGTGGCTCTTTCTCTCTGGAACAGCCTGGAACCGATGGATCTACAATGCTCAGAGCAGAAAGTTCAGAAATGACGCAACTCGGGCACTAAGAAAAATCATCCCTTGGATGAGAGGTAAAGATGAGAACACTGTAGGGAGGACGAAAATGTTGTTAGCTCTGGGACTAGAAGCTAAACAAGAATAACAGATAATATTTTCCGCCTTCGATTTAATCTTAGTCATGATTACAAGTTTGTGTCGCACTGACTGGCTGGTTTATGTGCTTAAAGCTTCTTAACTACATGAGAATCATTGAAATTTAATCTAACCTTGTTCATTACCAGTCAAGAATGTTATAATACTTAAATCACGGATTACAGTAAACTCTGCTTATACACTTCTTAGTGCAAATAACCTTGATGTACTGCAGTGCAGAAAACAAAATGTCTGAATGATCATTTTCCAAATCTTATCTAAGATTTGCTTCAAGTTTTAATTGTCATTTTATTAGATTTGTAATATAATAAACATATTTTTTATTTCTGCTTCAAGGAACGTTAGAAGATGTTGGCGAGGGGCTCTTGATTCAAGGTATGCGAGCCTGACCTCCCCTTCCATTAATTGTTTTTCAAGCTCGCAGGTTCTCTGGGGCCCCTACGGGCTTAACTCTCCTCCCAAGAAAGCAAAGTTCTTGGAATGAGAGTTATTATAATTTATAATGAACTTGTTATCCCCTTCTCATGTATAACAAAGACAAAAACAATATGACCCATTCATAGAATAAATTTTGCTACCTATTATCATCGTTCCTCAGTTGGTGCAGTGTAGATTATGTGTCTTACAAGACAGGAGTGTGTGTTAGTAAAATGTAAAACTGTGTCTTAATGCTGTGATATTTGAGTCGGAGTTGTGCAAGAGTGAGCTGATAGGTTTACCTGGAGTTTACCTGGAGAGAGTTCCGGGGGTCAACGCCCCCGCGGCCCGGTCTGTGACCAGGCCTCCTTAGGTCAGTGTCCCAGGATGCGACCCACACCAGTCGACTAACACCCAGGTACCCATTTTACTGATGGGGAACATAGACAACAGGTTGAAAGAAACACGTCCAATGTTTCTACTCTGGCTGGGAATCGAACCCAGGCCCTCGCCGTGTGAAGCGAGAGCGTTAACCACCAGGCCACCAGAGCCCTGGAGTTTACCTGGAGAGGGTTTTGGGGGTCAACGCCAACGCGGTTCGGTCTGAAACTAGGCCTCACGGTGAATCAGGGTCTGATCAGCAAGGCTGTTACTACTGGCCTCATGCAAGCTGACGTACGAACCACAGCCCGGTTGGTCAGGTACTGACTTTAGGTGCCTGTCCAGTGCCTTCTTAAGACAGCCAGGGGTCTGTTGGTAATCCCCTTTATGTATGCTGGGAGGCAATTGAACAGTCTTGGGCCCCGGACGCTTACTGTGTTGTCTCTCAATGTACTCGTTGTGCCCCTGCTTTTCATTGGGGAATGTTAAGTTTAATTTGTGATAGTAAGTTAGGTGTGAAATTTAGTTACAGGTGATGGCAATTTGGAGGTTCGTATTAGTGAGCTAATGAGTTGTTGAAAGAATATGGAATTGAGATATTTGGCTGTTGGTAGGAAAGGAAATTAAAAGCTGGACGGAAGGTTGGGGAGAGAGTTAATAGGTTGATAGATGGGTATGGAAGTTAGTGAATTAGTTGTTGTAAAGAAGCGGAATTTAATTGTTTGAAAGGACGTAGAAGAGTTAAGGAAGTAGCTATTAATTAATAGATTTTTTGAAATATGTGGAAGTTAGTTAATTGCTTGTTAGAAAGATGTGGAAATTAGTCACTGATTTGCTAGAAATGGAATGTAAATACGTGAAACTGAATTGTATAAGTCTTCTAGAGAGATTTTGAGTTATGTAAACAGTGTGTTTATAAGGTATTGCAAGAGTTTTCAGGTTCTTGAGGTGCGGCAGCTAATTTTAGAGATGTCACTGCTAGATGTCATGATGTGACCTTCATGAGTTCATGATGTCAAGGAAAATTTTTAACAAATACAGTGTTATGAAAAGTAAAGAAAGAATGAGATTAAGTGATTGGATTATTTCCACATTGTAATGAAAATATAACAAGATTCAGTAAATTTATTTCAGAAAATGAGCAACAGAATATATGTGGAAATAAATGGTATAAAATATCGACACAATGGAAATATAAACACATAAGTAGTATAATGTTATGGTTTATGACAACGTTTCGCCCACACAGTGGGCCTATCAAATCACAAACAGATCTGTTTGTGACTTGATAAAGCCAACTGTGTGGGCGAAACGGTGTCAGTAAACTGATGTAAATTACATAAACTTTTTGGGTAAATTGTAGACAGCCTGTACTGTCTGCACAGACAGCCCATGCTGTCTGCCAGCTTAGTTCATATTTTGTGCCACTCAGGTGTTGCCCTCTGTAGCCATGCCTCTCGGTGGCCACTTCAGCCTGCCTGGCCTTGCCACGCTCTGACTCACACAGCGGCCTAGCAGCAAGACACAAGTACCCCCAGCTCTCTCTCGTGGGATGGCCCTTCCCGGGCCATGGGCACAACACAAGCCTGTGTACCCACCACGACTTAACAATAAAGAAAGAAGCCTCCGAAGAAGACATTTATCATTAACCACCCGCTACAGCCTACCAAATAAACCCATTAAACATTGGTAGCAGTGGTGGTCACAGCAGTTGTTTGCCCGGAGAGAGGAAGGAGAGGTATGAAGTCATCTTCACTTCATCATCCTACACAACAAGCATCCGTCTCTCAACGAGTTATCCTGATGTCGTGTCTGCACGTTTGAGCATCCAGACATAGGTACAAGCAGGATCCAGCTGAAATTTGCCGAAATTCTCCGAGAATTGTAAGTGACCCCACGCTACAGCATCCCACGCTACAGCATCCCACGCTACAGCGTCCCACGCTGTTTCTCAGGTCACATGTTCAGCGTCAGTTGTATGTTGCTGCTGTTGTTGTTCAGCTCAGCACAGCTGTTTCAGCAAGACAGAGGTGAGTTTTGTGGTGATTTCTGCATCCAGTGTGAGCTTCTCCACGTGTTTGTGGGTGGGGGAGGAGGAGAGGAAGTGGCTGTTCCTCACCTTGCCCATGCTCACCCTACTCACGCTCACCCGTCTACCATACACCACTCACCACTGCTCACTCCCTCTGCTGTGTTTTCTGCTGTTTTTCGTGTGATTCATTGCCAGAGCTGTGTATCCGAGTGCCCGAGGCCACTTGAAGCTACGTGGATCAGCATGCCACGTAGATCACGACGCCACGTAGATCACGACGCCACGTGGATCACGATGCCACGTGGGTGTGGGCGATGTCACGTATATCTACAGGCCACGTGAGTTACCAGATGTCCCAGGCCACATGCTGTGGTCTGCTGCTTGCATCACATTGACGTTACCGACGATGCTCCCCGACTTCATGACGTCACGATGTCTGCCTGACGTCACCTCGAGATGTCTGCTGACGTCAGTGCTGCTGGCGTCATCACGCCTGACATCACATGATGTCACCATCAAGTGTTCAGTAATTATTAAAATATTGTCGAGAAGACTAAGAGAAGATATATGTCGTGTGTTAATTCCTCTCAGTCAGTGTTCTCACATGTTAGTGTACCGCATGTACAGTGGTGTGTTTAAAGTTTCCGTGTGTCCAGTGAGGTCTGAGCCAGACCTGAGTAGCACCACTGTGTTAAGTCACCAGTGTGACCAGTGTGTTTGAGAGTTATCAGACAGCCCCGAGTGACCGAGCCCTCTTGTACAGAAAGCTTTTATGCTCGTCGCTTGTGATGTTCTGCAGAATCGTACCTGCTATGATTCCCATCGAGATTTGTTTCACTTCACCTCCAGACTGTCAGAGTGCAGTTATATGTAGAGAAACAAGTCTGGGGATGCTCAGACTAACCTCTGCTATAACTCCAACTGCCGAGAGATTGATACTCGCCAAGCCGCAGTTAGCCACTGTCGGCAGGCGCTGTGTCAGCCTCGTGTCACAAGCTTCAGTGAGCAGCCTTCACTTTGACTGCTAGCTCTTTCACTGCAGTCTGGTGTATGATGTTACGACTCCCAGATGTTTCGCCCAGTCGTCTCTGCCACGACTCATTCGACAACTCGCTCCACGCTCGCCGGCAGTGACAGCTCAGCTACAGTACCAGTCGAGAAGTGTCCTCCTGAGTCGCTTGCCAGAAGTCCTACCCAGTTGCTGAGTTTTGTCGACGCCTCACTCGAGGGCACCAGCATGTCATGCCCCAGGTTGAGTGAAACCTGCAGCGACTCCTACGATGTCCGCTTCACCATTCCAGAGGAGACCGTAACCTGTAACGTCACAGCTCAGCCGCAGCGATGTCTCCTGTGTTGCAGTATCTGTCCAGACGCAGGAAGGCGTGCAGTGATGCCCTTCGACGCTCACTGCCTATAACCACGATGTTTAGCACACCCACATGTTTTTTCTTCCCTCCCTGTAGGAAGTTTTTTTTTCCATGTTAATATGTATATATATATTTTTATTTTGTGTTCTGTGCCCTGTTCCTACGAGAGAGAGACCGAGCTCCTTTTACCACCAGTATTGTCGCGTCGGGACAACGCATGGTAGGTGGCCGAGCGTATGTAGACAGCCTGTACTGTCTGCACAGACAGCCCATGCTGTCTGCCAGCTTAGTTCATATTTCGTGCCACTCAGGTGTTGCCCTCTGTAGCCAGGCCTCTCGGTGGCCACTTCAGCCTGCCTGGCCTTGCCATGCTCTGACTCACACAGCGGCCTAGCAGCACGACACAAGTACCCCCAGCTCTCTCTCGTGGGATGGCCCTTCCCGGGCCATGGGCACAACACAAGCCTGTGTACCCACCACGACTTAATAAAGAAAGAAGCCTCCGAAGAAGACATTTATCATTAACCACCCGCTTGCAGCATCTACCAAATAATCCCGTTATAAAATTCGTTTGTGATGTAAGTGTTTGAGGCGACATTTTGCGTCTTAGTGACGTAGGTAAAGAAATGCCAAGAAGAATTCTTGGAAAATATATAAAAAAAGATACGGATAGAGATAGCTTGAATATGAGACTGACAAGAATAAAGACATGTTATCTTAACCTTGTTTTAATCCTCAGTAACACAAATGTTAAAAGTCATATCCTCTAGTAAACAACATTTATGTAAATAAACAAGACGTATGTACAACACTAACATTATTGTGAAGAAGTTTGGCCAACCAGTGACTTTATCAGTATAATACTCAGTGTAATCCTGAAAGCAGTTTTGTTAAGTATTTTTTTTAGTTTGTACTTATTATGCACCTCACACCCATCCTGTGGGTGGTGGTTCAAAGATTACAGAGGTATATAATGGGTCCAGGGACTGGACCACAAAGTTTTGATAGCTGAGCAAGTTACAAAGGCAATGAACACCAGGTGGATCTGGTCACAGTCATGACAAATTACAAAAGTGTTTCTAGATTACAGAGGTACAAAATGGGTCCAGGGACTTCCAATATGTTAATTGATTATTCCCCTGATATTGCTCATCCAGTGACCAATTTCCTCTGTAAATACCGCATGTAAACGTTGCGAAAATATGAGGCACAGGGCCAGCAGCATTAACGGAATGTCCATTTATCATGGATTTCATGGCTTTGGAAATGAGATAATTTGACATGTAAAAATACCTCATCCACTTCTGAGTGATGAAGGATTGGTTAGTTAAGAGGGTTAAAGTATTTTGACTACACGAGAGTTATGAAAGCTGCATGTAGCCTTTACTCCATAATACTGAGATTAATATAAATTCTCAGCATATTTACAGAGTTAAGGATACAAATTCCACAATACTGCAGTGCTCCCGTCTCTATTTAAACTCTGCACAATAACTTCACTCATCCGGCTACTCAGCTAAATAAGCTTGTTTATATTTGCTTGTTGAGCATCCCTGTGTATTGACTGAAGAAGCCTGATTTACAGGCTTATTCAGTCCCTTTACAATTCCTCTCCGCAGTTGCGTAAAGGCTTCCAGAGGTGCCGTCAGTAGAGTAGTCAAGAATTTAAAGAATAAAGTATACATTAGATGTTTGCCATTGACTGCCTATATAATCTCACCACTAATATTATTTGGAAATTATATACATTTACAAAAGATTTGAATGATGCCATTATACGAGTCGATTAATGAGAGAACTTAAATATCCATTCCTGCTGAAAGCGTGTGAGAGCATCTCCGGTGCGCCCTTAGTTATGGGTAGCCTTTCCTGGGGTCCCACTCCCCATTAATAATAATATCTTTGTTTACTGCAAGTACTTGTACAAGGTATACAGACCATAGCTGACATCAATGACATTACTATACAGAAAGTCCCTTGTTATGCTGAGCATTTCGGGCAAATTAGGTCAGTTTTGTCCCATGATGCGACGCACACCAGTCCACTAACACCCAGGTACCCATTTTACTGATGGGTGAACATAGACAACCGGTGTAAAGAAACAAACTCAACGTTTCTACCCTGGCTGGAAATCGAACTCAGACACTCACCGTGTGAAGCGAACGCTTTAGCCACCAGAGCCAGCCGCTTTGACGGGCTTGCTTCCAGTACAACTGGTAGTTACCCATCATACGAATGCGGCCCTTAAGCTCATCATTAATGGTATGCAGGACTCTGGTAACGTGTGAAGCAAGTCGTACATAACGGCCTACGGCATAGTAATTTTTCATCACTTATTGATTGGACTTCATTTGTTTTCATCACATTATATTTCATTTGTGTCTCATTTTTTCCATCACGCTGGTATTTTATATCATTTCTCTCTTTCCTTGGCTGGAATAATGGATAAGATCGTTGGATGTCTCCAGACATCTGGTTGATAGCCTTGTGATAATCAGTAGGTATGTGTAGTTAATTTATCATCTATGGAAACCTGAGCCACTACTGGCTGGTTGTGTATTCAACAGTCTCAAGGTACTGGCTGTAAGTTTTCGCCTCCTCAGACTGAGCGTATTGATATGTATGCCTATATTATACAGGTTCCATAGTGTATCCACTGGTTTGGTCCTGTCTTCCTACTGAAGAGACCTCTGTTGAGGGACATGGATGGTATTGATCCGAGCCATCAGAACGCTACCGCATCAGGCTTGTCTCAGCTACCTCCTGACTGCCAGAGAGTCGCCCAAAGATCCAGTGACCACCTGCTGTGGTCAGTAGAGAAATATCATTCTTCTTCATTATGCTGTATACACAACTACTGCATAAATCATTAGCAATATTCAGATCGACACTGTCCGACAGCAAGTCGAGTCTCACTTTGGCTTTTCTTAGTGCTGCAAGTGTATCTTATCAACCTTTCATTTGGAAAGTAACGTGAAGGTGATCCATCACTACAACTTGACGTGTTTTGGGTTGGTTCCCAAGGTGAACAGTGAACCTCGCTAGGTGGTCGAATGACTGCTTGTTAGGACTTTGGAGGAACCCGGTAATATCAAGGTGTAAGTTGGGCCAACGTGCTTCTCTGTATGGCGGATCTGGGCACCTGGATCCAACAGCGTGAGAGCTATGGGTTTGAATCAGTCAGTAATGAGGTTGGTAACTGGTAGCTCTGTGTAGAACTGGGTGTTCTGTGATATGGCAGGCAACGCTCTCGCCTCACACATTGAGTGTCCCTGGTTCGATCTCCGGCCGGGTGGAAACATTAGGCGTGTTTTCTTATACCTACTGTCCCCGTTCACCTAGCAAGCAAGTAGGTACCTGTTTGTTAGTTCATTGGTGTGGGTCGCATCCTGGGGGACAAGATTGAAAGACCCCAGTGAAAATAAGACCGTACTCTATGACGCACCGACTTCCTTGGGTTAAAAATCCGAGAAAAATATTAACCTATTTTAACATTGCTCAGTTGGGCAGAGGACACAACACTGAGTATCTCTGTTTCCCCTTAACTAGTACAGAGAGTGCCTCAAGAAATCGTAATGACACGATTGCTGGAGTTTTTGAGACTCTATGACCGCGGGTTCAATCCCGGCCGGGGGTATGGTTTGGTACAGAGAGTTCTGGAGGACTTATTCCCGTTTTCTAAGGGAGTTGAGATCCCAAGGCATAAAACTGTTTCGTTATTGCTCGGGCACTTAAAACATTTCACATGTTTTTCTTTTCAAACCGGTTTTAAAGGCTAAGAGATGTAACCCTACATAAGCTTATTTCAAAGCCCCAGCCACATCTGAGGTATATTACGTTACAGGTGACACCAACCCCCCAGAATGAGTGCCAACTGTAACTGTCCGTGAGAAACTGGTTTTCCAGCGAGACAAGAACAAAATAGAGGTATGGGTGTTTGTGGGAAACAATCAGGCTGCAGAATTAGGGTTAAAAACAGCAGTTATTACCGGGATACCTCAGGGATATGTTTAAAAGACAATATTCAAAACAAAGTTGCTAGTAATGGCAAATAAATTGATCAACAGAGATAGTAGAGGGCAACGAGTGAGTAGCTCCCTTAAGGTTTACTATACAAATAGTAGGAGTCTAAGAAATATGATGAGCTAAGATTACTTTCAAGTGAGGTTAATATAGATATTATTGGTATAACAGAGACCTGGTTCAACCTGACAGATAGAGAAATGCCTTCAGAATGCAACATACAGGGTTATAAACTATTCCACACTGATAGGGTCAACAGGAAGGGTGGTGGTGTGGCGATGTATGTCAGAGAAAATTTAAATTGTTGTTTTAGACATGATGTAAGATTAGAAACAGCGAACACAAAATCTGTTTGGCTACAGTTTCTCGAGGGAGTGACAAAATTAATTTTGGGGTGTGATTTTGGCCCCCAAACCTTGATTGGGAGTGCAGTAAGCTTTAGGGGACGAAATTCATAAGGCATTAGATATGAAAATGTTGTGATAAGGGAGATTTTAATTTTAGAAAAATTTGTTTGGGAAAACAATAGGGGAATCTTGATTAGTGACTTTTTTTGGGTACATTCGGAAAATTTGTTTTTTAGAACAGGTTGTGACAAAAACCAACAGGGGAAAAAATCTGTTTTGACTTGGTTCTTGCCAACAAAGTTTCACTAATTAATAATCTTGAGGTTAATGTGAACTTGGGGAAAGTGTCACAAATACATGTTTCAATTATCGGGAATTACCCGATAAATTATTGGGGGGCTATATTGGGAGTCCGATATGGGTCAGGTAGAGATCTGGTTGCCAATAGGGAGTTTTTCAGAGCAAATTTAGCTCCCAGACAACTTTTTTTCCGATGGGGAAATTTAATTTAAAAAAAATGATCCAAAAATGGAGAACAATAGATTAAAACATCTCATTGGTAAAAGAGAGGCATATATAGGAGTATCAAAAGAGGGGAGGCAGTTAATAAACCAATTATTCAATTAAAGAGAGAAATAAAAAAGGAATAAAAAAAAGAAAAAAAGGGGATTATGAGGTAAGGCGCAAGGGTTCAAAGACAAACCCCAAAAAAGGGTCCTTTCGGGTACACGGTGGATTGGGGCAAGATTGGACAATTTTAAGGTAACCTGGTCAGACACTGACAGTGAAAAAGGATAACGTAAAATTCTCAATACCTACTTCCTCCCTTTTTCCCAGGAGATCTAGCGATATTCCTAAAATAATAGTTTATGTAGAACGGTAATATTACATTATGCACGATTGCAGTAACTAGTGACATGGTCCTCAAACAAATAAACTAAAACCTAACAAACCCCCAGGACCTGATGAACTGTTTGCAAGGGTGTTAAAGGAAAGTTAAGAGGAACTTAGCATCCCTTGGGTAATCTTTTTAAATATCACTACAAACTTGCATATGCCTGATAAGCGGAAAATGGCAACTGAATACCTTTTACAAGGCGGGGGACAGGTCCTTGGCTTCGAATAAGACCAATAAGCTTACCTCCATAGGGGAAAATCAAAAATTTGCCAAAGCTTCGTACCATCTTGACAGGCAGATTGATTAAAGATTCTAACACGGTTTTACAAAGGGGCGTTCCGTCTTACGAATTTATAACTTTTTCACAAAGGGTGTCTAG